CCCTCCTACACTGTTGGTGGGAATGTAAATGGAGAACAGTATAGAGAGGTGCCTTAAGAAACTAAAAATAGACTTACCATATGATCTAGCAATCCCACTCCTGGGCATATATCCAGAGAAAACTCTAACTCAGAAAGATACATGCACTGCAATGTTCATAGCAGCACTATTTACAATAGCCAAAACTTGGAAAAAACCTAAATGTCTATAGACAGATGAATGGATAAAGAAGATGTGGTATACACATACAATGGAATATTACTCAGCCATAAAAAGAATGAAATAATGCTATTTGCAGCAACATGGGTGGACTCAGAGATTATCATAAGTGAAGTCAGACAAAGATAAATATCATATATCACTTATATGTGGAATCTAATAAAAATGATACAAACGAACTCATTGGATCTTAATACACCCTATGATAAAATGATAATGCCTGTTCCACAGAGGAGGAAACTGAAGAGTAGAATAGAAAGCAATAATCCAGAGCCTCTCAGTTTGGAAGTGATATAGCCGAAAACTTGAACCAAGACCCTAAAATCCCAAACCCCAGTTCTTCTGGCATAACAAAGTCACAGAGGAGGAAAACGGCTGAAATGCTGACATTTGGGATGCTTTCTGAATTCCTGAGCAGCCCAAGAGGTCACTTAATTAGGCTGAAAATATAAAAGGATTCAATGAAGGCTGAGATATTTCATGGATGCTAAGTTTCTAATAGGTAATTACTGAAGATGGGGAAGCTCAGGGCTCTCTGGGCAGCTGCTCCGATTACCAATTAATTTCAGCAAATAACACCTGTGTTGAAAGACCTGGCACACACACCCACTCTCGAAGCACTGGGCTGAGAGGCCAGCTCTGCCACGCTGGCAGGCGGAGAACTGAAGGGCAGAAGAAGGAAAGTAAGGAAGCCAAGGGTGAAGTTAGAGCCAAAGCAAACACCACGCAACCTGTCCCCCTAGTGGCTGGTAAATTTGGAGACTGGTTTCCTTGCGGCCAACACCAAAAGGAGAATGGTCAGTTACAGGATTCAGGCTGGGCGCACAGGCTGGGACCACAGGCTCTGGAGCCACCTGCCTAGGTGTGAATCTGACTCTGCCACTTACTAACTGCGCAGCCTTGGACAAATGACCTAATTTCTCTGAGCCTCAATTCTTTATCTGTAAAATGGGGAATAGTACCTACTTCCTAAGGTTTTGTGTGGCTTGAGTGAGTTAATTCATTTGAAACACTTAGCACAGTGCTCGACACCAAGTAAGTGCTCAATAAAGGTTATCACTTGAATAGGAGAAAACATGAATGTAACCATCTCTGATACTAAAACACCCACAAGAGACCAAACTGCAGTCCAGGCACAGGGCCTCTCACGGCCTGGCCCAATCCAATGATGCTTTGGAATACAGAGAGCTGGGATGATAAAACAGATGCTCACTGCACCAAAAGTGGCAGCTGCCAGGAGCACCACCTTGAGGTACTTACTCTGAGGCATATCTTAGATTCAGGGAAGAAAACCACAAGACTGGAACATGTCAGCACACAGCCATGTGTTTGGCTGTCCTGATCCAAGGGATAGACAGACAGTGTATCCTTTAGGAAGTCTCCCTACATATTATTCCTCAACACTGAGCTTTTGATATGGATTCAGCAACAGAAAGCACAACCCAGCACAAAGGTGACATCTGAGCACAGGTGGTCAGTATCACAAACAGAAGGACAATACATTTTAAAGTACCAGGCCCTGCCAGGGCTCAGCTAAAGGTTGAGAGTTAATTCTCATCCTCTCACCAGACTGTCAGATTCTACCATAGTCTCATAGGAGTGAATTAAAGAGTATGTCAAAGCTAACGCTCCCAAAAGAGCACTTGTAAGATAAACGGAGGAATAAAGAGGAACATAATTAGTCCAGAGCTTCTTGATTTGCAAGTGACAAAGTCAGGACACTTGGATCACAAATTCTAGCTCTTTTTACAATACCAAATTGTAGAGAAGAAGGAAAATCCTCTTAAAATTTAAATTATTGGTTAACAGAGTTTAGGTTCATTCTTCTGAGTCTCCTATACCATCAAGATTAACAGAAATTAATTAGATGAAATTAACCAGATAACTTTGACCATCCTGCAGAAGTTGGTTAACAGCAAAAATTGGTGATCAGCATCATTCAGATACCCTAAAGTGTATCAGGTGCTGCAAACATAAATCTCGCTCAGCCAGGCCCTCAGGGGCTCACTAAGGGCTCCCTCTATCAGTGGCTCCCAAACCTACCTTGTGGGAGAATCGCTGGGGAGCCTCTGCTCAGAGTTCCTGTTCCTCTCAGGTGTTCTGAATCACAATCCCAGAAAGGGAACACAGGATCTGATTTGGAAAAGCATCTCAGTGATTCTCATGTGCGGCCAGGTTTGGGTGCTACTGACAAAGGCAACCAGCTCTAACATGGAGTGGTGGGCATGCCGGCAGAGGTCTGCCCAGGGGTGAGACACCAGAGAATGGAGGGATATCATGGCAGGCTTTCCAGAAGAAGCTAAGCTGGGAGGAAGAAGGGGGCTTTACTGAAAGGAGAAGGGAAGGAAGGGGCTTCCTGTATGTGGTTATGGTCAGGGCTCTGCAGGCAGACTCTCCAAATCTGCTGACTAGCTGTATTCTCAGGAGCAAATTTTGTAATCTCAAATTCTCATCCGTAAAGTGGAGATAATAGTCTTGGCACATAGTAACTGCTCAATAAATGTTAAGTCTAAATAAAATAAACATGCAGGGAAACACAAAGAAGGCCTGGATGAAATCATCTTGGCCTGACTTTAGGAAGTCCGGGGGAAAGGAGAAGAGAGGAACTGGGGAGAGGTCCAAATGTGAGAGCCTCAAATGCCACACTAAGGGCTCTGACTAGGGAAGCCATTGCGGGAGGGGCACAGCCAAACATTCATTTGAGAAAGATATGGAAGCTCTGCGGAGGATGGATTACAGAAGGCACACCTGGAGGAAGGGAGTGCAGTGGGAGGCCACTACAAACGTGCGGCCGGGACTAAGGCAGAGGGGAAGGAGGAGGGTATGGATTCAAGAGAGGTTATGGCACAGACAGGTTCTAGGCTGAAGAGTTACCTGGAGTTTTAAAGCCTGGAAGAGTGGATGGGGCCACTAAGAGAGATAGGGAACCTCAGAAGAAAGGTCCATAGCCCAAAAGGCTTTATGGTCATTCCATACTGCTCCAGGCAAGAAATCAGGTGTCTTAAGACAAAGGGTCCCAACACAATGATAGGTTTATAAAACACTGCATTAATCCATGTGAATGGGCAGCATGAATGTTACAACTGGGATGTGTTCCCAAAGAGTGCTTATAGATTGAAATAAATGCCCAAGGGCTAAGGAACAGCTAGGCAAACCACAGTACCATCCCACGGATGGAATATCGCACAGCAGCTGAAAATGACATATTTGAAAATGATGCAGAATAAAAATTTGCCAGCAATACAAATTAGAACAACTCTGTAACACTTAGAAAATAACTCAGAAAGAAAATATTATTGTGTCACAATGGGAAGATTCTGGGTAAGACTGTTGTGATTTCAATGCCTTTCAGAAAAACAACTGGCTCATACATATGGAAAGATGTTTTACTTCACTCAGTTTAACAAATGCAAATCACAGCCACTCGAAGACATTTTTCACTCATCAGACACAAAAATCCAAAAGTCTGATAATATACTCTGCTGGAAAGGCTGCAGAAAACCAGGCCCTTATATATACTGCTGCTGGGAGGGTAAACTGGCACTCCTACTGTGTGCAGTAGAATAATGGGCTCCCCAAAGATGTCCACATCCTAATCCTCAGAACCTGTAAATATGTTAGGTCTCATGGCAAATGGGAAGTTAAGTTTGCAGGTAGAATTAAGGTTGCTAATCAGCTACCCTTAAGATGGGGTGATTATCCAGGTAGGCTCAGTGGAATCACAAGGGTCCTTTAAATGTGGAAGAGGGAGGCAGAAGAGTCAGAAGATGTGATGACAGAGCAGAGGTCAGGGTGATGTGATCGCTGCTGGCTTTGTAGTACATTGTTACAGCAGCCATAGGAAACTAATACACCTGTATGGAGAGCAGTTTGGCAACAGCCATCAAAATTACAAGTGACTTCTGTTCCCTCCTTTGGGAATTTCTCCAAGAAACTAGGTGGGACCCAAATAGATGGCTGACAGGACTGAGAGACTTCACTGTATACCAGTTTCTTTATACCAGATTTTCAAGTCCTGTTCATCCTACTTCCTGAGTACAGCTCAAACTCATCAATTTGCCCTCCCACCACTGTCTCTGCTCTGGTCCAGGCCACCATCACTTCTTCCTGGATTGTGGTAATCCCCTGCTAACCAGCCTTTCTGACTCTAGCCCTTCGCTCCAATCCATCCTCACACTGCAGCAATAGTGATCTTTCCAAACATAAATCTGATTCTGTCACTAGCCTGCCTAGAACCTCCCATTACTCCCCAGTGCCCTTAGGATAGCTCACCTTTCTCAGCTTGCCACCAGGCATCTTCCTCTTTCTAGAGAGGGCTCATCTCCCAATACTCCCAACCCCTCCCAGCCATAACATTGTTCTAGCAATCCAACCCCTGCCTGTTTCACTTTGGCTGCCAACCTTTGCATGGGCCTCCTATCACCCCCTTCCCACCTTCCGCTTCCTCTGTCCTGGTCAACTCTTAGGCATCCTCGGGTCTTCACTTGAATATACACATCATCCTTACCAGAAACCTTCCACCACCTCCCGAAACTGAGTCTGCTACTCCCAGAGCTCCCCGAACTTTCCCAGTCAAGCCTGTTCCTTTGCCTGGCCTGCTCAGTGGCATATGAGCTGCTCCAGTGGGTCTCGAAGCATTCTGGACGTCAAGCTAGGGTGGGCAGATAGGTTCTTTGGAAACCTTTATCGCAAGAAGGAATGAATGAACATCTTTAAGGTTCTGAGTCTCTACGATTCTATCTGCAGTTCCCAGATTCTGTTTTGAAAGTACAATGTTTCTAAGATTCTAATTTTACGTTATTAAAAAGCGCGTCCACGTCTCGTCATATGCCAAGCTGCTCAAAGTTTACCATTCCAACTCTCTCTTAACCAGTCCTTCACTCTTTACCTCCTGAAGAGTTTGCGGGAGCCATCGGACACGTCCGGCCACCTGAGCCCGCCCGAGCCCCGGAGGCCGCTGGCCACCACCCTGGGTCCCCCCGACCCCCCGCGCCTCCGACCCCTCACCTGGCCGCCTGCATGAGCGCGCTCCAGCCATAGTGGTTGCGGCTGTTGACCGAGGCGCCGCGCCGCAGCAGGAAGCGCACCAGGGGCTCGTGGCCCCCGGCCGCGGCGAACTGCAGCGCCGTGTTGCCCGCCTCGTCCGAGCAGTCCACGGGCACTGGAGCTCCGGCCGCC